ATTTAGCTGCAGGGCCACACTAAAGAAAAACCAGATCAATCAGATGCATCTTGCACTCATGCTAAGAACCACCAAATTAGGATCTGGCAACTGTAGTAAATATGATCCACCAGAGTTAGCAACGGGCCAGGCAAAATACTAAAATTTGGTCTCCCCAAATTTTGCAGGTATTTTTCAGATCTGAAACCAAAACTTTACAACTCATCCTGATCTCCAGGTCTCAGGCCAAAACCCCAGATCCAAACTTTGAGGAAGGATTGGCTCAAGATCCAAATTTTGTGTTTAAGGCCTATTTCTATTTTGAATAGATTTTTCATCAGAATTATGAAAGACAGGGTAGGCAAATGAATCCAACTCCAATCCTCTAAGATATCCAGACTGCTATCAAAATCCTATTGCTTACTTCTCTCAACACATTCTCACAGCTTCCCTCTCCTGCTCTCAGGGTCTTAGGCCATGTGGGCACACAGTACGACCTAGTAGATAGATCACTGGACTAGGACTCAGGAGACCTGGGTTGTATTCCTGGCTCTGCCACTGGCCTGCTGGGTGACTATGGGCAAGTTACCTTCCCTTCTGTGCTTCAGTTTCCCCATTTGCAAAATGGGGATAATGGGTCTGACCTCTTTTGTAAAGTGCTTTGAGATCTATAGATGAAAAACTGTATATAAGAGCTAGGTAGAGAAGCCTAGAGTATGCTAATGCACATAAGCTTAAGAAACAACAATAGCCTGAAAGTTATTCCGTAAACGATAATCCTTGAATCAGGGTGAACAAGGCAACAGGTATGCAAAGTGCCCCTTCTTTCATGACTTCCATTTCTCAAAGAAGTTAAGGATTTAAATTTTTTTTTTAAAGTTTCTCTAAGTGCAACAAAGGAAAGAATTTGTGTTTTATACTACAGTATTTACAATCCAGGAAAACACAGACACCTTCACCTACCAAGAACCATCTTCACAGAACAAATACCACAAATTAAAGAGCTATATTCCCTTGCACAGACTTGGGAGATTGAGCTTTTTGCCGTCATGTCCCTGGTTTGAATTTGGCATGGGTTCAACAGCGACCTAAAATTGGTGCCAGCAGATGTGTGACTGATCAGAGGCCTATATAAAATCAGCTAGTGGCCTCACTAGCAGGCCAGAATCAACTTTGGTAGTATGTCTTTGCTGCTCAAAATGCTCCTGAGCTGAACTGCAGGCAAAGGCAAATGCAATAGGCAAAAAGAGTGAGGGAGCGCATTGCCCCACTCCTCAAAGACACAGTCTACACTCTCCTCCAAATGTACATTCATCCTTCCCTTTGGGCATCCTGCTTACCAGTATTGCCTTAGCTGGATTGCCCACTACAGCCTCCACAATGCCAGAGCCACTTTCTTTATTGCCCGAGTAGCTTCCTTCTATTTTTGGGAGGGGGACATATGGACCATCAACCCTCTCCACCTACCTTCTTGCAGCACACCCATTTGTCCTTCTGCTCCTACAGGCCAGCCCATTAGCCAAGAAGCCCTCAAACAGCTCTTACAAGGCCCAATCCTAAACGGGGACTTCTTTATGTGACAAACAGAATCTATGGGTTCTAAAATGCCTGGTGTGACTCATTTGTTCCCAGTCTTAACGGAGACGTGATGAAGCAATTCAGACAAACCCTTCGATTGTCATGGGCTTGAGATAGGAAAAATATCTTTGAACAAAACAAATCTCTGAAGAGCGAGTTTATGATTCATCCAGATGGTGGAGATGTGCAACTCTCCCCCTTTAGCTAAGGGATTAACATGGGGAGTCTCATGCAATCATCCAAATCTTGCCCTCTGATATGCTCATGCAATTCTCTGACTTCCCTCTTGATCGAATGCACCCCAGTGTTTGTACAGTCTACCTAAATTCAGATGGTCCTCTGCCGTACTTCCCCCAAGTAGGACACAATCTTACAGAGTGCTAGAACCCCCCACAGCTCTCACTGTAATCAGTGGTATGTGAGCATGCTAAGCACCTGGCAAGATTTGGCTCTTTAAAGCTGTTTCATAGGAATCGTTACTGCTTCGTGAGATTTTTATTTTTAAATTATTCTTGCAGTATTTTTGGTCTTTTTTAAAGCATTTCACTTTAACAAACAAAAATAAAGCAGAAAAGAAAGAAGAACATGACAAGTATTAAAGAACAAGAAATTGCTTACACCTATTTTTCCCTAAAAGTGGGTTAGGAATAATGCTCCAAATGAATTTGTTATGAATCATTCCTTAAAACAAAACAAAAAACCCCCCACAATTTCTAGGTAAAATAGATTGAGCAAGTTTTATGCAGCTGTTACACACTCATCACATCTGCCACTTGAACACTACAAAACACACAAGTCAATCAAGCTTAGTACCTCAGGTTCTTCCAAACTGGGGATTTAAAAAAAAAAATACAAATCAAACTACAATTTGACAATTAATACCTAGCAGCCCGGTGGAGTCACTGAAATAAGAGGCTTTAAGAAATGTAAGAGATCTAAAGTATTTTGGAGTCAGTGGCAGAAATTCAGCTTTATTTGTTTGGCTACTGAAGTGTTGTATTTGTTCTACAAGCCAGGTAAACTGCAATCATCTCATGTAAAACTTCCCAACCCTTGCTTGGATTCTGCAACTTCTTTATCATTTTAAGGACCGATAATGATCTAGCTTACACCTGCATAAATCAAGAGTGACTCTGCTGAGGTTATAAATAGAGCTGGTAGAAAAACAATTTTTGTCAGAATTTTCAAACAAAAATTGGGTTTTCAGCTAAATAAAGTTTGTTGTGGACAGTGCCAGCTTTGCATAAAAATTTTGAGTTTTCATTGAAAAAGTGAAAGTCTTCGGTTTTCAGGTGAAAATTTTTTGTTTTTGTTTTTTTTAAACTATGTAAACTCAAAATTTTCTGTGAAACTTTTTTTGGATTTCTTTCCCTTCATTTTAATCAAAATTTTCTGCAGGAGGGGAAAAAACAACATTTCTAACCAGTTCTAGTTATAAACTGGCAGAATCCAAATTAGGCTCACAAAGTGTATCTAGCTTTGTGCCACATGGGACCACAAACTGAAGCACAGGCTGATGAACCTGGGAGGTAACAATAGCAAGAGCTGACAGAGCCAAATCACCCAGGGAACACATTCAAAGAAGAGCAGGAAAACTATATCAGTGGCTGTGTTCATGACAGTACAGAGATGTGCAACAGTATTGTGACATTCTCTCTCTTTGAGTCCTATGGAAACCCCCTCCAAAAGTCTGCAGTTTTGTGGTCTACCTCCCATAGAACTCGGGTATTTTCCACACAAGAAAACTCTGCACACTGAAAATGGTAGGGTATGGAAGGGAAGAAGTTTCGTTCAGCCCGAAGGTTCACTGATTCAAAGCCCAATTAAGCCAATGGGAGTCCTTCTATTCACGTTAGTAGGTTTCAGGTTGATCCTTGAGGTGCTCCTCTCCCGCCTCCCTGCTAGCGTCAGTTGGTTTCCAGACACTGTGACCATGACTCTCTCAATACCAACAATGGCTTTGTGAGCGTACATTTCCACCCTGATCTCAGGTAGGAGGTAGCAAGGGATGAAGGGACTGGGAAACCAGGCCCCAGCAACAGGATGCCGTAGTGGAATTTTGTACCTGAGGGAGTTTCCAGTCCCACAGAAGGAATGAGTCCCACCCTGACCAGCTGAGACGATTGGAAGGAAACTCCATGAGTCAAAATTGCCGTGTTTTCTTCCCCCCCAAACAGATTTTTCCAGTATAAACAACCACCTAGCCCAATATTTGTTCAGTGTTTTGGCATAATCCAGAGAAGTGCTGGAGCAGTGTGAAATATTTAATAGGAAAGGACACAGTCAAGAGCCCCCTGCCCTCATATTTCCTATAATTTTCCCACTGCTATTGCTCAAAATCAGATCTTAAATCAGATCTCTGGAATTGAGATTGCTCTGCTTAGTAGTATTTCCCGCTCCAAGTACCCATGATGCGTGTGTGTGTGGGGAGGGAAGGGGGTGGAAATACAGGAATTGAAGCATTTGTTTTGAGACTAACTATAAAACATTAACACATGAGGAAAAACAGGGAGGTCATATTTTTGAACTCCGGTCTCGATAATGTCCTTTTCACACTGGTAAACAAGTTTCAAAAGTGTATCCACAAAAGATTTAAAATAATACAGAGACAGGGTGGGTGAGGTAATATCTTTTATTGGACCAACTTCTGTTGGTGAAAGAGACAAGCTTTCGAGCTATACAGTTTCCAGCCTGAAAACCACCTCTTTCACTATCCGAAGTTCGTCCAATAAAAGATATTACTTCACCCGCCTTATCTCTCTAATATCCTGGGATCAACATGGCTATAACAGGGGAAACAAAATAATAAAAAGATAATCACGAATGCACCATTCTCCATTTTTCATTTCACCAGCAAGTGCATTATATAAAACTTAAAGTATCAAATCAGGACTAAAAGCACACACATATATCCCACACTAAATGAGCAATAAAGACCAAATTCCATGCATCGATGTTAACCCATAGATCCCATTGACTTTACTGGGACTGCCATGTGTGCATCCAAGGACAGAATTTGGCTCCATTGGTGTGCTAGCGGTAACAGAGCATAAAATCTCAAACTTGGGAAAAGGCCTCTGGTGCTCAGAATATATCACTCTATTGTCCACTAAGTTACTAATTCCCCCCCCACGCACACACCCATTTTTACTGATAAGAAATGCCAAGACAAATAGTGTAAAGTTATGGTGGAAACTGTGTGTGTCCCCTTTTGAAAGAGGCAACATTCCAGCCTGAAAGTTATTCACTGCGACTTCTTTGTTTTTCTTGGAAAGCCATTGTCACTCTCCACAATTTAATGGAACATAATAAAGCTGAGCTTTATTAAAAGAGGCTCAAATCCATGTCATACTAAACATCCAAGTGCTTTTTTCAAAACTGTATTATCCCAAAAGATAGCTCATTACTGGAGTTAGTTCCAAACTAAAAGACCTTGTAAGCGTTTCCCATATAAAGGACGTTGTGATTCCCAGGGATAATGGCACCGCCTACAAAGCAAAGTATTATTTAAGACTTCTAACCAAGGCTGAAGGCAGAACTGTTTTTTCCTGTGCCTGAAGAAGGTACAAAGGACCTCTTCCTTCTTGCCCATCTTGTGTATTCATCCAGGAAGACAGAGAGGTCAACTGAGGATGCTCCCCCTAAAGTAGGAACATTCAATTGATTTGGAGATGTAGCCAGGGCCATGCCCCAGCATGAGCTCGTTATCACCACCAATAGGGTTACCATACGTCCGGATTTTCCCGGACATGTCCGGCTTTTTGGGACTCAAATCCCCGTCCGGGGGGAAATCCCAAAAAGCCGAACATGTCCGGGAAAATCCGGCACCGCTGGGGCGGGAGCTGGCCCGGGC